CCATCTTCCACACCTTTCCAACCTAGCCACACCCTTTAATCATCCCCCCTTTAATTTATGATTTTATTTCCTAACCCTACATGCATTATTTATTCACTCTTCATCATAACAACCACATTCACTCTTAAACAATCATCCACATATTCTCCCATTCCCCCTATAAAAACCCATGCATTCATACACAAAGGGTCATCTCATCTCATTTCACAACACAACACCCCTCAAACACTTCCATTTCTTCCCTTCCCTTTCTCCTCCATTTCTTCCATTTCCATAATCCCCCAATCCATTCAACACACCAACAACATCCCTTAGTCCTTGTGCTACAACGAAGAGGAAGAGAAGAGGGCCTAAACGTTCATACAATTCACGTTTGAGTTGTTGGAATGTTTACGCGTTTCTTTGATTTCAATGTTTAAATTCAATTCTCTTTGTTTTGTAATATGAGAAGAGGAAGAGAAGAGTGCCTAAACGTTCATACAATTCAAGTTTGAGTTGTTGGAATGTTTAGGTGTTTCTTTGATTTCAAAGTTATGAGGAACTAAACCCTTTTTGGCTAGGGGTGATTTCAATACCATGATTATTTATGTAATATGAATTGATGAATTCCGGTTATGAACTCTTGATTCGTGAATGCAATTGGCTTAACTATTTGATGATTAACTTATTTGTGTTTGTTGATTAAGGGTCGACACTTAATTATCATGCATGAATATGTGGCTAAAGTTTAAGAAGGTTTCACATAATCGTTACTAACTTATACTTGAAAGTAGTGAAGGTCGCTTGTCACGATCGCGTTAAGTTTAATTCTTAGCATGAGTAACATGATGTCATAGTTGCAAGTGCTTTGTCAATGCTTATGGTTTTCATTATTCTTAATGATCTTCGATTGTATCTCTATTATGATGACATGTAGGGAACTTTTGAGAATGTTTTGGGTTGTCGAATGATGCCATCCAATCCAATAATATAAGGAAAATCTGAGGGTTAACTAGTGATGTCACGGTTAATTTGGGGCATTGTCGTTCATAATTCAATGAAGGAATAACTGGAAATTGATTCATATGCATAAATATCATGTGTGGAGAAAGAACCTCTAGCTAATTCACCAACCATCTTATTTCATCAATTACATTCTTGTTTCGTTATTTCAATTTTCATCAAACCTCAATCCCCCTTTTGCTTTAATGTGCAATATAGTTAGAAATCAATTTAGTTTGTGTTTTTAAAGCATTTTGATTCTTTTGGTTTGTCTTAGTGTTTTAACGTTTAGTTTCACATTCTTTGAGTCTAGTTTAACGTTTTATATTGTTTTTACGTTTTAGTTTAAATTCGTCCAAATCCAATTCCCCCCTATTTCGTTGAAGTCTTAGTCTTAATCTTTCTTATTTTTAGTTTTGCTTTCTTCGAGCATTAAATAGTGTTTTATATTGTGTTTTTATGTTTTTAAGTCAATTTAGAAGGTTTTAGCAAGCCCTCCTAATCCCCGGTCTAGAACGATCCCTACTTATACTTATACTACAATTGACAAAAAGAGGGTTTAATTTGTGTGCGTATAAATCTCGCATCAAGAAGGTCGACTAGGTCTTCTTGAGGAGATCCTCTTTGGTCAAGGTCACGTTACGGAACTTGAGAACTGATCAGATTCGACAAACTTTAGAATTATACTCATTCACAGACTTAAAGTCTTGGAAGTGCAAAAGCTGCCAGTCATCTCTTGCTTCAGGAAAGAAGATATCCTTTTGGTGATCAAAACGATCAACCAAAGTGACCCATAGTGCTCATGGATCCTCGTCAGCAAGGCACTCGCTTTGCAATGTGTCATGAATATGTCTTTGGATGAAGATTATGGCAATGGCTTTCTAAGCTTCGCCAACCGAATTGTCCGTCTCATCTTCAATGACGGGACGCAAATTTTTTGCAGTGAGGTGGAGCTTCACATCTTGGACCCACTTGAGGTAGTTCCTTCCAGAGACCTCTAAGGCAGTGAAGTCGAATTTGTTCAAATTAGACATGTTCCTATCACAAAATAAATGGACAAGAAGTGATTAGTGTAATGGAGAAGAATATCAATCCATTCACATAGGGGTAGAACACTCTGGTTCTAATAGACATGTATTGGTTTAAATTTACATGAAAAAAACTTCGGGTTTTCATGGGTGATGTTTTTAAGGAAAACTTCTAGTTTTCAAACATGGCATGTTTCTAGAAACTTCAGGTTTCGAAATAATTATGAACTTCAGGTTCATATGTTTCTGCAGACAAATACAAATATATATACAGAAATATGCAACAATAAAATATGCAAATAGAACTTCAAGTCTATAATTATAATTGAATTAATTATTTGGATTTTGGGCCAAATTTAAAGTGTGGGTGAAAAAAAAAAAAAAATAAAACCCAACGTGCGTAAAAAATAGGTGATTAAACCTCGGGGCCCAAAATAATGGGCTAAAGCCCACGGGTGGGCTGAGTAGCTTGAAACATGCGGCCCACACCTAAAAATTGGGCTAGGTTGGGCTTAGCTGGGCTGTAGGCCCAAGACAGATAGGCACGGATCTGCTGCTTCGTAACGTATATGTTCCCCTTGGGGGTTTGGTTTTGTTGCAGTGAGGACACGGGGACACCAAAGCCACAGGCTGGTGTCGCGGGCTGAGTCCAACAAAGGCTCAATTAGGCTCTGTGATGTAGGCCGAGAAAAGTGTCCAAGCCTAAAGGGCTGAAACTTTGTCGAGAAATAGGCTAAGCCTAAGTGGGCTTGGGTTTTTAATCCAGACACCCCAGCTCAAGCTGGGTGAACTTGTTGGAGAAGAAGACCAGTGCCACCTGTAACATCCCACATCAACCAACGGAAAGGGGGTGATGTGCCTTATATGTACATGCTCACCTCCATATAACACGAGGCCTTATGGGAACTTACTGGCTTCGGATTCCATTGAAACTCCGAAGTTAAGCGAGTTTGTGTGAGAGCAATCCCAGGATATGTGACCCACTGAGAAGTTCTCGCATGAGTTCCCATAAACAAAACCGTGAGGGTGTGGTCGAGGCCCCAAATGGACAATATCGTGCTACGGCGAAGTTGTGCTAGGGATGTGGTGGAGCCCGATTCGGGATGTGACAATTTGGTATCAGAGCCACTCTGCCGTGTTGTGCGAGTGTGTCGATGAGGACGTCGGGCCCTTAAGCGGGTGGATTATAACATCCCACATCGACCAACGGAGATGGGGTGATGTGCCGTATATGTACATGCCCACCTCCATATAGCACGAGGCCTTTTAGGAATTCATTGGATTCGAATTCCATCGGAACTCCGAAGTTAAGCAAATTCGCACGAGAGCAATCCCAGGATGGGTAACCCACTGGGACGTTCTCGCATGAGTTCCTAGAAACAAAATTGTGAGGGCGTGGTTGAGGCCTAAAGCGGACAATATCGTGCTACGGCGAAGTCGTGCCAGGGATGAGGTGGAGCCCGGGTGGATTGTAACATCCCACATTGACCAATGAAAACAGGGTGATGTGCCTTATATGTACATGCCCACCTCCTATTGCACGAGGCCTTTTAGGAACTCACTGGCTTCGGATTCCATTGGAACTCCGAAGTTATGCAAGTTTGGGTTAGAGCAATCCCAGGATGGGTGACCCATTGGGAAGTTGCTTGTGAGTTCCTAGAAACAAAACCGTGAGGGCGTGGTCGAGACCCAAAGGGATAATATCGTGCTACGGTGGAGCTGAGACTGGGATGTGACACCACCACTTCAAGCAATCGTGTCGTGGTGCAAAATTCACGGCGAAGGCTGTGGGTGCAACGACAACCCATAAAATTGAATGGAGAGAGAAAAACTCTCAACATTGTAAAACCCTAGAAATTTGTGATTTGAATTCCAAAGAAAAACAACTAATTTTAGGCAAAGACTCGTCTGTGACGACTGCATATCGTTAAGGAGGTAGCCAGAGGTGGCTGGGCGTGGCTGCAGGCCTTGCTACTCGACGATTCAAGGGAGGCAACACCGTTTGGGCATCGGGTTTAGGGTTTGGGCCTGGAGCCATGGCTCCAGGTTCAGGTTCTCGGCTCAGGGGAAAAGAAGCCCATTGACATGGATAGCTTTTCAATGAAACCCTTAAAAAAACTTTATAATATTTTTTTTCATTTCCATATTAATTCAATGCATATTCATAAAATAATTTGATGCATGAGCAGAAGAAAGCATCCATGTTAGATTCTTAAGCAGTGATACGAGCATGCTGATAATGTGTTGTGGTCTATATTTAACTGACAGGGGAAGGGGGCCGGTGGCACAAAGAGTATATAGAAAGAGACGTGTTTGTAGGGTTGTGTAGAGGAATGTGTGTTATTCCCCTTACGCAGTGCATCACCTTTATTTTTAAGTTGTTTTCATTTTCCAAGTTTTAGTTGCAATACGACCTACTGGCTTTTAGGCTACGTTTAAGACTGCTACGTGATGACCAAAACACCAAACAAAATAAATCGTTTTTTACTTCATTTAGCTGAAAAACATTGAATACTTCCAACTCTTGTAATTGTTTTCTAATTAGGTGCTTTTTTTTGTTGCATCAGGTTTCGAACTTTGTACCTAATCTACTCTTACTTATCACTCTACCCACATTTACCACTGGGCTAATCCCAAATGCTTCTTCATTGTGTTAATAAAAGCACTTCTAAAAAAAAGCGCTTATCAATATAAGTGTTTTTTTTGAGAAGCAATTCGAAACGAGACCTAACGGAGCTACCACGTGTGCCATTCAACCACGCAAGGGCAAGTACGCAAATACTAAAGCACGTCCAGAGTTCTTCAATAAGATGTGGAAATTTCCTATGTATACGATATACAAGTGCAAGCAGATCGTTCCTTTCATCAACTAAAGCGTAAGAAACGTACACAACATCACACTCTTCATGTTCCCATGGCTTTTGCTCAAGGTCTAGCCTTGATGATATTTCACAGAAGTCCATATTCAGTTCAAAATAATCTAACTCAAGCTTGGCGATCGAAACCGAAGAATTTCTATTTAAAAGAGGACACAGAGATTTTACGTACCCCACAAATATAACATTACTTTCTATACGTTTTTCTTTTCATCTTTATTGCGTTTACACTTATAAGAAGAAAAACAATGTAGCGTCCACTAGAGACTTGACAAAACTATCATAGACATATGACATCTTCGCTTTTTCTTCGAAGCACTTGATTCACAAAATTGTCCAAGTTTGTGGATGATGAACCATGTGGAGTAGTGGCTTCTTCCGCCAGTTTCTTCCACTCCATGGCCTTAATTTTCAGTTGCTTGCCTTTCTCTCCTTCCATTAATTCTATAACAAGCTTCTCTACTTCATCTCTCTTGGCACCATTACTTATCTCCATGCCGATACCCCATTTATTACAAATACAATAACAGTTGGTTTGCTGGTCAGTAAAGCATGGAAAACATAGCATAGGCACACCTGCAGATAGACTCTCGATCGTTGAATTCCAACCGCAATGCGTTAAAAACCCTCCGACTGATGGGTGCTCAAGCACTTGCTCTTGTGGACACCAACTTGCTATTAGACCTCTTTCCTTCGTCTCCACGAAAAACTCAAGTTGAAAAATTGTCGATTCACCAGCAACAAGATCGGGTCTAATTACCCAAAAGAAGGGAAGCTTACTATTTGCTAGTCCCCAACCAAACTCAACAAGTTGTTCAGTTGTCACGACTGCTAAACTTCCAAAATTCACATAAACGACAGAACTTGGTGCCTTGGAGTTTAGCCATTGAAGGCACTCCGTTTCTTCTTTCCATAGACTATATCCCATGGCCTTCAGAGGGTGCTGCGGTATCTGATTAAGAAGTAACTGTTGAGGACCAATTGCATAAACACGTGGAAACATGGATGAGAGAGCATCCAAAACTTCTTGCTCCAATTCATCAAAAGTATGAAGAACAATTGCTGATCCTTTACCAAGTCTTTCAATTGCGTCAAAGAAGAAGTCTAGTGATTCATTAGGATTTGTTGTGATAAAGTTGTTTGGGAGATCCCTTAACCTTATACCTTTAAATCCTGGAACCCAATCTATGACCTGGTCCAGAAAGCCATTTGTTAGCCAGCTCTCATCTGCATATACACATGAAAAGATTAAATTGATTTTGTGTGTCAATGAAGTACCGAATAGAATTATTGTTTTTATCCAAGCAATAGTTTACACTGTACTTGTACAATACAAAAGATCAATTCAAACTTGGATGTATAGCGGGTGGCACATGGCTCTAGCCAACTTGACAAATCTATGTATTTGTTTCTTTCAGAAATACAAGATAAAAAATGAAAACCATTTGATCAGAAACGAGAAATTAAAATTAGACAAAGGACTAAATAATTAGTTACTTCAATGCAAAATATTTATTTCTTTCACCTTTGAGAGGGGTAAGTCCCTTCTCCACCAAAGTAGGAAATTGATAGAAACCCATCAAGCTGCTTGCAGAAATAGTGAAGAAGAGTACGACAGGGATTCCCATTTCTTCAGCCGCCGTGACGGTGAAAGCCATCCAACCATCCGAAACAATGTGACTCGCTGGAACAATATCATTGTGGGAAGTTGATGATTGAGTCAGTTTTTTTAGGAGGTCACGAAATGGAGCCAAGAAATTTGTTCTGACGGCCTCACCAAGCAAAGCCACATTTTGAGTGGTATCTTCATCTGAACTTTGAAGGCCATCTGGTATGGTTTCAAACCGAAAATCGGGCAAGCCGTCGAGGGAGTTGGGTCCTAGAGACTTGAGGAAACGGTTGTGATTGAACTCAGTGTTGACAAAGGTTATGTGAACGCCTCTACGGTGGAGGAGTTTAGCAAATTTGAGCATTCCCTTTATGTGGCTTTGAACTGGAAGGGGAATGCAAACGATATGAGGCTTATCATTGGCTACTTCCTTGGAACCCATCTTATCTTTCAATATTTCTGCGTATGTATGTGTATGCACCACTCTCACAAATGATGTGTTTTATATGTTGGCAAGTCACTCTTTTGCCAGGATCTCATTGTCCTGATATAAAACAAAAAAATTGGAATTTTCTAGTACGCATCAGACAAATAAAAAGTCAAGATATTCGGCTAAAAATTCAATGGACCAGGATTCTGATGTACACTTTTCGCCAATGCATACTAGAAAATTTCATTTTTGTAATGCTTGGCCTGAATTATTCTCTCATCTTTCTACAGATAGCATGAGCCATATGATACTCGAATAACATAACCCCACATGCATTCAACAAATCGTTAAATACAAGATCAAATTGCACTAGTAGTCCTTTTAGGGCCTGTTTGTTTGACAGGATTAGGGAGGACTGGACTGGATTGAACTGTAGTCCCTTGTTTGGTCTGCACCAGGATTAGGTTTAATGACCTTAGGTGGGACTTGCTCGGATTGTACACCTCCTTACGAGTTCTTAACGAGGATCCTCAATTTCAAGCGGACTCGTAAGCTCAGAGAAAACCATGAGAGAGTCACTCCTCCTGCTCGGCCCCATGGGGGTGGTGCCGCTCTAATTGTCGTCGCATTGAGCCTCGTGGATCGTCGTGGTGGGGCTATGCCTCGATCTCCATCGTTTGGTCCAAATCCTTGAACATAGGAAGTTTCGTTCGTTGTGGTTTCCGAATTTCTAGTCATTGTACTTTTCTTTTTCGTTTATTCAAAGAACTTTATAAAAATTCTAGGAATAAAAATGTACGAAAAATCTACCAATGAATGAGAAATGAGAAACTTTGAATACAAGAGTTTTCTTCGAGCTTATGAATCAAACTCTCAATGAAAGCACCAATTTGTGCATGCAAATTTCCATCGTCTTCTCCTTTGACGAAAGTGCACCTGCAAAATAATAACACCTAAGATTAAGGCCAAAAGCCTCAAGCGCCCACGATGAATGGGGGGCTTTTGTCGAAGAATCTCTTATGCCAAAGTTAGAATTTTGAAAAGAATGTGTTTTGGAGTTTGTGGGGGTAGTAAATGGCTTAACTTTTTAGTGGGATAATACAGCTGTTTATAGGGGAGTGGCCAGCCCTATTTGGAGAATAGTGGCCGGCCATATATGGTGTAATTGGAGAATAATTGCAAGGTATTATGTGAAATAATATCTTGCAATGAACATGGCAATTAAACTTAAATTAAATAGAAAAATTGGGAGTTACCTTTAGAATAAGGATTTGATGAGGAGTGATGAGAGGGATTTGAATAAACACCATTTTGATCATCTTTGACTCTTCCTTGATTGAGCCGTTATTGTCTGTTGCATGAGCATGGGAATCCCGGTGTACCTCGAGGGTAATTTTGTCCTTTTAACCCAAAAGCCCACGTGTCACCTTCATAATTTTTTTTTTTTTTGGCTCCACAATAATGAGGAGTATTCTTGGATGATAGACTAAATTCTTCTAGTTTATTTCTTTTCTTTGTATGTACCCCTCAAAACTGCTCCAATTCATTTCATAATTAGATAAACTTGTAGTCAATCCATCCTTTGCAAATTAGGTACACCATTTCTATAAATATACCACCATGAAACTAAAAAAGGAAAAAACCCACAATTAATAAATAAATAAACCAAACTGCCTAGGACTACCTAGGAGCCATCTAGGTGCCGCCTAGGCGGCCACCTAGCTCCAGACTGATTTTTTGAAATGATTTGTATTAAATCGCGGCGTGCCTTCACCACCTAGCGCCTAGGCGCCGCCTAGGCCAATTTTTAGAACATTAGCTTTAATTAGTTGCCCTACAAGTAATATAAGTCATAAAGGGATTTGATCTCCCAAATCCTATTGGAATCTACTTCTAGATTTGCACAATCATGTTCCTAAATAATATTAGCTACAACACTCCCCCTTGAGCGTGTAAAGCTTAAGAAGAAGTAGCATTAGGTCTTCATGGAGGATTATTGAAGTCTTCAATCCTCACAGGCAGTACACACATGAATTTGAGTTAGGATTGCATGTAGGGAAACATAAACTAACAAAAACCTGGCGATAGCAAACACAATGGGACAAATCCCAAAGTCTCAAAGAAAAAGTGGAGAAGTGCAAAGTCTATGCTTGTGGTAGTCAAGTGGCGATTAACGCTCACATCAGGGTATGACCACCCCAGTATAAGTGTCTCATTAAAACCTTCTTAGGTTAGTAAAATTCAATGGGAAAAGTGCTCATGAACAAAGAAAAAAAGTGTACACTAGGTTCAATTTAGTATCTACTAAATACTCCCCTTGAGTTCAACAAAACTTCCTAATTAGACTGCAAATGGTGTAAATCAGGCAGTTTACACATACCAATTCCTCAGACAAGATTCTAAAAATAGGACTCGGCTATGACTTGGTGAGAGATCAACAAGATTGTCTACGGAACAAATTCACTTGATTTTGATCTTCTAATGCTCTTGTTGTTGATGAGAGAAGAAGAACTTCAGCGCAATGTGCTTGGTATAGTCTCCTTTGATGTATCATTTTCGAATCTAGTCTATACATGTACAGTTATCTCCCAAGATTGTTGTTGGGACGTCAAAGATAGACAACAATCCACATGCACTTTGAATATGCTCGACCACAACTCTCGGCCATATACATTCATGAGCGGCCTCATAGAGGGTGAGTATCTCGACATGGTTCGAAGACGTAGCAACTAGAGTTTTCTTAGTAGACCTCTAAGATTTCGTGGTCCCAAGAATGGTAAAGACATAACCTATTGCGGATCTTACCATGAGTGGGTTTGATAAGTACTCATCATTAGCATAACTGACAAGGCAAGATTCAAAGCGAAGACCAAGGCGGTGGCGACTTCACTCGAGAATAAGTAGGGATAGAATAAACTCAAATCCACAATACCTATAAGGTATTGTAGAATTTCTTTAACACCTTTTTAGTGTTTGCATATCAGTGTGTGGCTGTATCTATCTTGTTAAAGAATTCACAACAATGGAGATGTATGGTCTTGTACATTGAGCTAAGTACAACAAAGTGCTAAATGCACTAGCTACTGAACGTCGGGTTATAAAACCTCTTCATCATCCTCCTTCGGATGAGCCTTCTTGTGCATCAAGCGTTCAAATGACTGTGGATGTACTCGAAGTTAGCACTTTATCCTCATTAAAGCAGTGTAACACCTTAGTGGTCTAGTTCAACTATTGGACCAAAATACTGTTAGAACAATGCTCGATCTCAAGACCAAGGCAATGTCGAGTTTTCCCAAGATCCTTCATCTCAAATTCTGATTTAGGGTGTGCAACAGTATTGTCAAGCTCTATAGGAGCTCCAGTGAGATTTATGTCATCAACATAGGCTACAACGATTGCAAATTTGAAACTAAACTTCTTTATAAACCCGCAAAGGCATAGTTCGTCATATCCCTGACTAATCATATACTCGCTTAGATGATTATACCACATCAATACAGATTATTTCAATCAGTAAAATGAATGCTTCAATAAAATAGAAAGGGTGTTCCATGGTCTAGAACTATCTGACCCAATCAATATAAGCCCCTCAAGAACAATCATGCGATTTTATTCATATCATTATCCATAAGAAAATGTGTGATTGAGCTAACAATAAAATGTGTCAGCCATATGCATAACTAATCATAGTAAAGTTTTAAATCACGTGGAATAATCGTAACGGGAGGCAAGGCTACACCAAAATTAGAAGTGCATGTACATATTAACAAAGGTAGCTAATTATCCTGTTGAGTAATAAACATTAATGAAAAAATAAGGTAATTTCTCATGTTGGGCTAATTTGTTATATAGCAGCTCCAGCATATTTAATGAAAAATAACGTAATTTCTCATGTTGGGCTAATTTGTTATAGTAGCTCCAGTGTGTGTTGGAGCTCGAGGGACAGGCAAGGGAACAGAGCCAGAGAGTCCGAGCAATCAAGCCCAGCGTGTGCTGGCGAAGGAGCCTGAGCAAGCCCTAGGGAGAGGTCCGTGGAAAGTTGCCAACCCGAGAGCCCGGAGTGGGTTTGATGCAAGGCTAACGTCGCCCTAACATCAGCCACGTTTTTTCTTCTGTTTTGCTTCAATCGTTGGGGCCCGCATGCACAGCTGCGTCAGTGACCGTTGGAGGCCACATGGCACCTTAGCGTCAGTTGGATCTCAATGGTTATCTGTTTTATATCGTTGGATTTTCAACAGTAATAATAATTTTAAAATCTTATTTAATTGCAACCTTTGGATATGAGTCAATGGTCCACGTTATTCACCTTTATAAATTAAAAAAAGAAAAAATTGTTTAAAATTCAGAAATCTTATCGTTGTGCCATGGGGCACAATTTGGAGTGTTGGAATTCAAATTTTTTTTAATCCAACGCCAGAGATTAATTAGGTGAATAAAAATTTTAAAAAATGTAAAAAATTGATAAAAATCAGAAAATAAAAATTAGAAAAAATTTAAAAAAAAATTGATTTTACTTTTCTATAAATACCTTCTCATTATCTTCTAACTTACACCACAATTTCATATTTTCTCAACTACTTTCAACCACATTCCTATCTTTCTCTCAAAGTTCAATCCAATTTTTTTTCCAACAAAATGACTCATGATGCACATACGAATTGAACACTTCTTGAAGATGTTGCTTTGTGTACTAGCTAGGTTGAAGTTACTTATGATTCGCTTACAGGTAATGAGATGCAGTTGCGAGAAATGTGGAGTCTTATTCATACCAATTATCTTAAGAAAATGGGTAGAAAAAGAACCAAAGAATCAATGTCCAGTCGTTAGAAATTACTTAGCCAATCGTTTAGTACGTGGAAAGACGCATTGGCACAAGCTAGTAGTAATCTTCAAAGTGGGGAAAATTTAGCGGATCGGGTAACAATATATTATTTTTTTTTTTGTCTTATTTTTTTGTTAGCTACTTTGATTATAATTATTTGTTTGTATTATTTATTTGTTACCTACTTTCATTATAATTATTTGTTTGTATTATTTATTTGTTACCTACTTTCATTGTAATTATTACTTCTCCCGCATTGTGTAGGAACTTCAAGCACAAGCTTGGTATAATGTCAAAAGCAAAAACAAAAACAAATTATTCAATTGGTGGGAATATTGGAATATTGTCAAAGATTGTCCTAAATTTAGAGTTGTGCCTATCCGTCTAGAAGTTTTCATGAACAGCACCCCTCTACACTCTACACCTGATCATTCAACCGGTGGACATGTTCATGAAGATGACGCTGAAGAAGTGCCCGAAACACCCCCTTGAACAAGCGTCGGGGTCGACCCATTATCCAATTAAGCCTCAAGCTAAGAAGGCTTTAAAGAGAAAAGGGAGTGCTTTCAAGAATGATTACTTGACAAACGTTGACTATCTTAGGCAAATGTCGTCTGCTAGGTAGTATGGCCCGTCATACTTACGTCCATTGACCTAGTACATGACTTTTGGTGCCTTTCCTTGCAGGACATCGTTGAACACTGGGGATTGGGTAAGGACACTGAGGTCATTTTGAGCTCCCAGAACCCCAAAAAATGTGTGCCAAATCCATGTATCAAAAGATGCAACCGCCTCCAAAATAATACTCTTTGCTCCTTTTATGTCCTCATAAGCAACTTGCCATGTACTTGGACTGTTTTTCCAGGTCCAATGCATACAATTGATGCTTCCAATCATCCCAGAAAAACCTCGCATCTCACCCTTCTTCAGAAGCCTTTACAAGTCCATGTCAGTAGGTTTTCGGAGGTACTCTGTAGTGTACATAGATTCAATTGCTCCGCAAAACCTCATCAAGGACTTAAAAATGGTTGATTCCCCCATCCTCGCTATCTCATCCACTTAGTCTGCAGATGCTCCATATGCAAGCATTCGCAAGGCAGCAGTAATTTTTTGCTCAAGAAGGAGATCCATAGCACCAAATGCATCCTTCTTTTGCACAAAGTAAGAATCATGGTTACAAACAGCAATCATGATTTTGTTGAACAAATGTCGTTCCATTCTAAAACGACGTCTAAAGTACGTATCAAGGAATGCACTGTTACATACAAAATAATCGTCCAAGAGATTCATACCTCGTCATTGTCTGCTTCTATCAAGGTTTGCAGAACGGCTGGGCCTGGAGATCTGAGCCACAGCTTGGATGACTCGATAGGAATGTGAGGCTATTTGGTTTCTTGCTTCGTCATCTCTCTTTCTACGCTACTCATCATCTTCCCTCTCATTTTGGGCCACCTGGAGATTGAATATTCCTTCTGATTGGTTAAACAATTCTTCCTCTTACTGATTGATTTCCCACATCATCCTTGAAGAATAAGGCATTGTAAGAAGGAAGCAGAAACTATGAATAGTGATACAAATTTTGATTTTGATGAAAAATGAAACATAAACTATGAATAATAATAGAGATCTTCAGAAAATTGATGTGAGATTTCTGAGAATAAATGGTGGATTATATAGAAGATTCAGAAAGGATTAAGTTGTAGATAATGTCACGTGGCATGCCGTCATTCATTAAAAATATGATTGAAATATATCCTCACATATTGTAAACATATTATGACATGTGACGCGACGTAATTAGTTAAAAGTTTTATCAAAAATCTATCCTCAACGATTCTAAAAAGATAACGACACGTGGCACGATAGCATTGGATAAAAATCTTATCGAAATCCATCACCAATAATTGTCTTTTCGGATAATAACACGTGACGCAATGAAAACGATTAAAAATCTTATCCAAAATTATAAATTAAATGATTTTGTATTATTTTATAAATAAATAAAATACTAATATTTTATTGTCTATTGCTAAGGTTATTCAATGTAAGGATAAAGATGCAAAAGGTAATTACTATTCACTAAGTAGCTTAAATAGTGAATAGCCTTTTGGTTGTTTTTGTGTTGTGTGTTGTGGGGGGGGGGGGGGGGGGGGGGGGGGAACTGCTCTTATCAATCCAACCTTAGCAGAGGACTGTAGTCGGGTGAACCCATAGTAATCCAGCAGGTCGGAATTTTGGATTTCAATACATTTTTTTGCTTTTTCTTCTCCAACCTCCATCAATCAAGCAGGCGCAGTTTAGCACCGCAAAGACATAGTGCGATTCAGAGCAGTCTGTCGTTCTAGGTCCACGGCGGTCGAACATTGTGTACATCGCCATTGCCATGGCTGCTGCTTCTTCCTCCGGTTCCGGATAAATTCGGGTTCGAACATGCCCATGGAATTGAGTCATGGCCATGGTGGTTGCCTCTGATCCTGTTACGGTTATGGATGACTGCTTTTCTTAGCCACGCGGTTCGAGTTGATGCTGTTGAATCCCTTCTCTTTGAACCAGCTCCCACTCCTGCCACTTTCCAATATACTTGTCATTCATTTCAAATATCGCTCATCCTCGGCTCATATTATAGAATGCAAGAAACACCATCCGCTTAATCCACATTTCAAATATCACCATACTCCAGACCGCTGTAATTCAACTCTCTGTCCCAGACAACACCGTAACTCATCATCTCAAGTTTCCAACTAGATACTCCTCAAAAGGCAAAAATGATAACCAAGACCCCAACTGGTTTCACCCTCAATTCATAAGCACCTAGAATTTGAAAAAGAGCACGAGAGGGGAAATTAGGATAAACGACATAACCACCATGAATAAACATACACAGAGCCAACAAATATGCCGAAGCAGATCCGCCCGGGTCAAATGCATATATGCAGGAAATTAAACGGATGATACCCAGTTACCATAGACAAAATGAACAAGGCACATTTAACAAAGCTGCAGAGTAAAACCATAATTCCACGCGACTACTTCATACAAAGCAAGAATTAGCGTGGAAACGTAACGTTCCAAATGCTATGAATCGCTAAATCGTTCCCATCAATTCGATGGAAACCTACACAACTACTTCTCTTTTCCTTTTCCTCACAATTCCAAGCAACACAAATAAAGGTAAATACTAAACAGCATACACCATTTGCAAAAGCCCCAATAATGCGAAGAAAACTAACAAAATCTAAACAGAGAATTCGCATTAACAGATATAAGCAACCGATTAACATAATCGGATTTAGATTAATTTATCAGCAAATCACAGAGAGATTGAAATAGAAGAAAACACATCAATCATTCACAGAACAATCACAGATTGCAAAAACACACACTACAATCGATATCTGTATATATCCAATTTTTCACAATAACCATCCAACCATTAATGCTGGAAATGCCTTTTTCGCCTAATCAAATTCTAAACCCTAATCTTCAAATTCCAAACCCTAGAAAATTGAGCAAATCAGATCAATAACTGCATGGCTACGAAGGAGAAGAAGACGATCTGGCTAGCTGGTTCAGTTGATGTCGGTGTCGTCGAAATCGTCCTGGAAGGAGTTGAAGAAATCGGCGTCGGCCAGCTTGCTCTCGCTGATGCCCTCGCCGAACGCCTCGATTGGGTCGACGTCGTCAACGTCCATGGCCATGGTGGAGCCCTGATCGTCCATGTCGCTGAAGAAGTCCATGGCCGTTGGCCTCATCACTTCAAATTGCCTCTGCCTTGCGGAAGCTATGGCTATGGAGCGTCTCACGTTTTGGCTTTCCGCCGGAGTGCTCGCTTTTTTATTTTGTCTTGCTCTTGACGACGACATGTCCTTTCTTTAATTCTGTTTTTGTAGAAATTATTACCGACTCAGTATATTTTTTTTTTTTTAATATAACCAACCATATTATCTATCCTAAGAGAGGTGGCGAGGTGTAAGTGGTCATCTACCATTGGTAAAAATGAGTATAACCCTTACACCACGGTATGTCGGTATGGGTTCAAATTCCATCGGCTTCCTAATCTAATATCTAATTTAACAAAAAAATAATAATAATAACAAAAAAAATAACAAAAGAGGAATGGGAGAATGGGCTGAGTTTTATAATGAGCTAACAATGGTTATCTTTGGTGAGAATCGAATATAAGACCTTTATACCACTAGACAATAGTATTAAGTGATCACTAACTCAGTATTTTAGGACTTTACTTTTTCTAATCAATTTAAGACTTTGTTGGAATGCTTTTTTGCTGGCAACCGGCTGGGTTTAGGGACCGAAATGTCATATTCATCCTTATAACTACGAAATTAATCATATCCATAATCACAAATTAACCATCAGAAATTATCTATAATCATACCCACGGAGTAACTGATTCTCCAATGGTTAACAATTATATACATCTTCGTCAATGAAAAAAAATTATTTGTTCAATTAACACTTTATAATTTAATAGTTTCTAATTCCATCCTTAAATATCTACATCCATATCATCAAAAACATAACAATACTTTATAGAGGTGTTCATGATAAGCTAAATATGGCAGCAAATTAGGCAAATTAGTCTCATGAAAAAAAGAAGAGGGATGACAAAAGCAAATAAGCAATCATTATCGGAGAAAGATGACCCAAATTATCAAATAATTTCAATACAAAACCACTTCATCATGCCATCACCTCCAAACCCAACACAAAACCACCAACTCCACCACCAATTCCATCCTACAACTCAAGCCACCAACATCGAGAAAAATGTTATGGAGGTTGATGAAATGGTATGGACTATCATGATGCGGCCACCACCATCGTCATCACCCACAGAGAAGAACTAGAAGCTTTACGAGCCAAGAATCGGTAAATGAAGGAATCAAATGAGAAGAAATAAGCTTCTTGAAACCCTAACTGAATTATTAACCCTCTTATTTGTTAGAAGATTGCCCTCCTAATGTAATTTCAATTTGGGTTCATTTTTAATTCAATCAATACTTATTTGATCATGGGGTTCTATATTATGTAATCTATGTTTGAAATTTAGATTTTGAGCCAACTAATATTAATGTTGACCATGATATAGCCAATTGGTGGGTTTTGAATATAATCTATGTTTGAAATATTAACTAGGGCTTAACAGATGTGACATTGTTAATAGGTTGGGTACTTGTTTGGAATGTTTAAGAAGGTTAAGACCAATTTGAAATGACACTAAAAGGTTCGGGGACTTTAGGTACTTAATCTTAAGTTGTGTTATATTACAAGAGGAGGATTTGGAGACGGATATGGATAGTGGAACCCTATAATCATATATGAAACCGTAACCGAATTATATTCATTGTTTCTCCCAATAGTCGAAAAATAGCCAAATTTTCATCTTCAAATCTGCCCATCCGGGCGGTTATTTACAGTCATTGGGTTTAACCAGTTGAATTGTCTTCCATAAGCACCCCACATAATATTGAATAATATGTGAGGTGTTAATATAATAGTCATTCAGTACTACAATCTGGTGGCATTTCTTTTCACTTGGAAGTGAGAAGTCTTAAGTTCGAATCTCGTGGATGACAAATTTGATACCAAATTAAGTTGTCCATTGTGTGGTTTAGCCGAACTCCCTCTCTCTTTAGCGTAAAATATCGATATACTAAAAAATATGACAAGCCTTGCTGGAATCCCATTTGTGTTTATTTCTTTCAGTTAATATTAGTTTCCTCTGAAAATGGGATTAACTAATATAGGCTCTAAATGGGTCTCAACTTTTCAAAATATTACAAAAAAAACTGCCTAATGTTTTGATGATCGGATATTTGTTAGATCATCAAGTAACGACGTGCAAAAATATTGAAGTGAATTTTAACTCTCAGTCATCTATTGGAGCTATGAGTTCCCCAATCAACTCATTTTAGCAAAAAAAATATGGGTTCAAAGGTGTTGATTTGGAGATTTAAGACTCCATAAATGACGAGCTAGTGACTTCATCATTTACAGCTAATGACCTAACGTATGTCCAACTTTCAAAGTATTATGTAGTTAGTTGGAATTTTTTAAAAGCTTGAAACCTAAAATCACCCTAAAAGGTAGAGTAGTTATTCGTACTTATCCTTTAAAATAAATTCAAAATTAAAAAATTAAAAAATTAAAAAAATTAAAAAAAAAAAGCATAAAATCATGTGCAAGACCAGCTAAGTGATATCTTTTTTTCATTGTTTGAAGAGGTCCCCCAATTCTGTATCCTACCATTCCCAATGATAAAAATTAAACAAAAATCATGCAAGAATAACTAGACAATATATGATTTATTGATCCATTGAAATTATGATACGTGACTAATTACATCTCGAAAATATTCGGCCATAGTGACCGTAAATGATGGATTATCTCTTAAGAATGGAAACAATTAAATCCTCTCTTAAGCATAAAGATTTGTCAGCCACCACAATTTGTAATTTGAGTGAATTGATCGTGTTAACAAGTCACGTATTGTCACAATCACATAGAATGAAAATTTTACTTCAAAACGGATTGAAACACAAACCAAGAAAAAAAAAACTTTGGAATGGAAGGTGAATAGCAAAGTATGTGATTATGATGATATGCTAAACAACCATCTTTAACCCTAATATATCAAAAAAATACAAGTGACCAAAACACAATGTGTTTATTAGAAAACAATTAGTAATAAAAGGTATCAAACCTGCGAAATATGCATGGAATTATATATCCTTGATGGAGCCTCCTCTCTTGTCAAAATTGTTCTTCTTATTCTCTTGATCTCTTGAGGCTAAAGCCGAAGGAATATGAAAACAAAAGAGGGAGGAGGGTAAAAAGTACAGGCCAACCATGAGAGTCAAAAGCCTACAATCATGGAATATATAGGGAATGGAATTGGTAAAACGTATCATAACATTAACTTAAACTTTCCAAGCCTATTTACCCTCCAAAAATTCAAGGTTTAATGACCCGTTGGCCCCAAAAGAAAACACGAGTGTTATTTTGTCCCTTGAAAGTAAAAAGGTCATAACTGAACTCCTTTGAAATTCACATTTCATCGTGTTTGACCATGTTTCGTCTATTTCATTCCAAACATGTACCGTCACCAAGAAGTTGTTTGCAAGAAGTTGATCGTTGAAATGATAATTGATACACAGGAAGTACAAAATATTGATTCTTTTTCTAGATTAGAATTTTTAAAAGAAGTTTATGAAATTCTCTAAGTTCTTGTTCCTATTTTGACTCTTGTAATGGGAATCACAATAGGTGTACTAGTAATTGTATGTCTACCCCTACATACAAAAACGAATGGAGAGATCAACGCCTACTAAACTAATTAGTATTCATACGTTTTTGTTAGACGGAAAATTTCAGGCTTTGAGACATTTTTAACAATGACTCATTGAGAAGCTAGCACAGCTACTAGACCAAGAATTAGTAAGTTTCTCCTTTCATTAAAATTTCAAACTACAAAAGAATTTATTTTTTGCTTATTTACTTCAGTATATTTTTGAAATTCAACTCGCGTATCACTAAATTTTTTGAAATTCAACTTTTGCCACTTAATCCACTAAAATTGAACCGTTTCATACTTGTCAACTATTGTCAAAATTTGTGAATAAATCTACTAAACAATTTACGCGGCACAAATAAATACCATTGTTGTTGAGATGTCTGCCACGTCTGGAAACAAAATTGTTAAAATTTTACTTTTCTATTTTAAAAAAGAGACTTTTAAATTCAAAAATATGATTTTCTAAGCATTTTAGCCGCATGACAGCACACATCTCAACAACAATGGGTCACACTTGAGCCACATAAATAGTTTTGTAGTTGAAAATAAAGTGAAAGACGAGTTGATTATCAAAATATTATTTGGTTTCTCCAAGGTTAAATAAAATTCGTGAGTTTGAGAATATAGTAATGTATTTAACCTTTATTTTTTGTAATAAAGTTGGAGAGTGTTTAGGCGTCTCACAATGGAGTAATAATACTATAGTTCAAATTCATTTTTAATAAAAATCGAATTTAAAATATCTTACTCATATATAAAGACAAATAATATTAGAAAGTAGTATTAGGTGGAAGAGTTTTAATTGAAGAAAAGATAACGAGAACGTGGCAGATGGAAGCTCACACTACGCATGGAGAGCAGTGTCCTCCTTACAGCACAGCCTCATCCATGGCGACACAAATATTCCTTTCACTTTATCTGTCAAAACCCACTTCCTTCCTCCCATTTAAGTCGCTCCTACGCTCCTAGCTACCGTCGCTGGGACTCCAATGCCGAAACCATTCGTTCCCAAAGATTCGGTTTCAATTTCAGAGACAAAGGCAACGGAGAAAAAGACGACGACGATGAAGAAGACGAAGAAGATTACGAGTACAGTAGAAGGGAAGGGAAGAAGAAAAGGCGGTGGTGGTCGGACGAGTCGTCGGAGATGGAGGAGGAAGGCTCGGGTGGAATCTTGGAGGATGCCATTGATAGTGTCTGGATTCTTAAGGTACTAACTTTCACTTCATTTTTGGTTATTTATGTGAAGTTTGGATTTGGGAGTGCTTCAAGTTTGGAGAGCTTAATTTTTTTATTCAAGCGATATTTTAATTAGTCTAATCTAAACTGCCGATGAGGGATTTAAACTTAAAATGCAGTAAAAAAACACACTGTTCTAACCGACTTAGCTATGCCCAGCTCTAATTGGGAGATTACTTTAGTTCTTCTCACCCATGCTGTAGTATTAGAACGCACCAATATTCGAGCAATATTCTAATCAGTCTAATGACTCTAGTCTAAATTGTGGAGGAGGGGATTCAAACTTGGGTGTAGAGGAGAGCACGCTGCTCTAGCTAATTTGACTACCCCCTAGTCTACTTGGAGAGCTTCCTGTAAACATGTTTGACTCGTCCAGGAACAAAAATTATTAAGAAACAGATGTTTAAGAATTAAAATGCATCAATAGTTTGATTAATTCAATAAGGATCATGATAGATAGCTTTACTTGCATTCATGTAAGTGCTGAATTCCCCCCTTATAAGGTTCATATGCAAAAGATAGAATCAGAAACCAATGTGAAGACAGTGAAATCGATATTGTGTGTATCTTTGTCTACTATTGGCTTCTTGATTTGTGTTGTATCAAGAGTTTTGAAGTTAACCAGTTCCATCTTCAAACATAATTTGCTTAAGATCAAGTTATAGATGTAACATTTCAACAACCTGTTGACATTTAAGTAGGAAAGTCCTATAGAGTAATGTTTCATCACCTCGGTCTTCGACTACATAGCAGATTTCTTTTCCTTTCTGTTCTGAAACTTCTCTCACATCCTATTTTGTTAGCCTAGTCCCTAAGTGCTTTCTACAGCTGAATTGGGCCTTTTATCCTAACATTTTCTGCACGTGTAAGTCTCCTAATAAGTTTGAGGTCAATGTGTTATATGCCAAAAAAAGAAAAAAAAAAAAAAAAAATTGGATGAGAACTGATGTTAAGCATAATGTGGCACTTCCTGAGAAACATCTAATGAAAGTTATGAAAGGTATCGCGATGGGCCATTATTGCAGCTATGGGAAGGCACCTTAAGGTAAGAGACAATCACTGGAGAGCCTTAGTCTGAGTGAGCAAAGCGTAACATCGAAGCGTAAAAGATGAATACCTTAATGTGCTTTCATAGCAATGAACGGCTGCAGTAATTGGAGGGAATGAATATATTTGCTTGGGGTTGTTCTGGATGGTCAGATTGACACTTGGTACTTGGTTTCAAAAGAAACAATGAGAAAACTGCTCGAATAGTTTGTGCTTTGTATAACTGTTATAATGAACAATGCCTTGCTCCCAAGACAAACAATTATGCCGTCTGGTTGAGCACGGTTGATCCCTTACATTAACGACATCCAGACCAAAACTGACACTGGTTTTGTCCTGTACATGCTCTTCTGCAACTAGTTAAGCTCGGTTCCTCTGCTTCCCATTTGTTGATCACATGACGTAAATGGTCAATTAGATATCTGATACCATTGAGTTCCTGAATATATAAGCATTTTGATAAAGTGATTACCAAAATAGGAACACCATAATCCCGAGGCTGAAGATGAAAAATCGCCTGAGTCAAAATTTGATATCCAGAGGGGTCTAATTTTTCTTAGTATACTTGTACTGGTTTATTCCTATTTTAGAATCTGTTCTTATAGGTGTAAAATGTCCAATGTATTCGCTTTTTTGGTTGGTGCAGGTGTTCAAATCGTATGGTTGGGCATTTCCAGCTATTATCATATCTTTGCTGCTGTCTACGGGTCCGAAAGCTTTCCTAATGGCGTTAGCACTCCCCCTTGTTCAGTCAGCATTTTCACTGGTATTTGAGAAGGTATGGGGAGGGACACAAAGTAGGCCGAAACGCAAGTCCAGGACCAAGAGGAGAAGGAAACCTTTTGCCAGCACTGTAGGTAATGCTAGAACCAAAGAAAAAGAAAAATATGATGAAGAGCAGGAAACTAGTGACAAAAGAATGGGTTATCAATCCTGGGTAGTTGGAAATGATGCTTCAGATGATAGTAGTGATCGAGATGCATCGAGTTTAGGCGGATGGGATGATCTTGAAAGAATGGAATCTGCACGGAGGCAATCTCGAAGAAAGCCGATGGGGAAGGGTAAGTTGAGTCGGAGAGAAAGTAATACTGACACACCTCTCCTGTTAAGATTGTTGATTGCTGTTTTCCCATTTTTGGGTACATGGACAAAGATGTTTTGGTGAATAGAGAATGTAAACCACTAGTCTCAAACCTGTAGTATTCCAATTGGTTTGCCTGAAAGTATTCGGATCAACTACTACAAGATTTTTCCGTCTGCTGTTACACGGCCTTCAGGAATCCACAATAAATCAGCTGAGTCTAAGATGAAGGAATCGGTTGAAGCTTAGATCAATGATATTCTGATGGCATAATTTAGCCATTTTTTGTATACACCTGACCCGGATGCTGGCGTTCTTCAAGAAATTATTATTTTGTACGCCATCGTATATAGTATATATTCCAAATACAATTTCACGGTACACTTGACATTTCATTCCATACGGTGGAATTTGGTATTTGTCTTATGGAATTTGGTTGAATACTGAAATATTCACATGGTAAATTTCTTGAATCGAATACCATTAATCAAATATTGCTATTTGTTTACAAATTCAAATGAAACCTTGAAAGAATGTTAAACTGCATCTGTAAAAAATTGTGATTTCCTGTACTGTAAACAATGCGAATGTACACAAAAACTGCGGTCATCGTGCAAATAGCTCGACCTTGTTGCAAGCAGATGCAGGGTCCTGGAGGCAGTTACAAAAAGCCTCCTCGTCTTTGGGGAATGAGGTAGGCAGGGGATGGTCTGGAATCACACCGACCTGTAAGTAATGGGAACAAAGTTAACCGAGAGCAACACGAATACAGTATATGGGGAGAACAAGAGACCGCATCAGACCTTATCAATGTCTGTGTGCGCAGGTGTCTCATAACGAGCGACTGTAATAACCAAGCCAGAGCCATCGGACAGCTCAAAAACCGACTGAATCTTGCTGCATAGTCGGATGGATGACTTATGTCAGGAATATACGATTTTATTCATGGGAGCTGTGTAGGAGCAAAAGAGATTACCCTTTCCCAAATGTGGGTTCTCCAAATAACACAGCACGTTTATTGTCCTTCAACGCCCCAGCTAAGATTTCACTTGCGCTAGCAGTTCCCTTGTTCACCTGAAGAAATCTCAGTTGATACACACACCAAATCTCACCAAGCAATTCTTCAAACATAATGTTTCATAGGAACGCACAGGAACACGCTACAGAAAGGTTCCTTTTTAATAAGACAAAATATCAGAAACGAAAAACTGATTCCAGCATTAAACAGCACAGCGAGACAGACCGGAGCTTGACAACAGATAATCTAAATGATGAGCATATGCAAATGTTTGCCCGAGCATTGAGGAATATCACTGACCAAATCTACTAAATCGTATTACTAAATAAACACGTACCAGCACAACTAGGGGTTCTGAAGTCGCTACTGCTTTGCTTCCATCGGTGTCATATATATCTCGAACACCACGACTATCACAAATATATACAATCACACCTTTGTCCAACCTGGAAAAAAACATCTAATCATGAATTTACAAAATTTGGATCTGATATAAGGAAGTGCAAGCTTAATACTTGAAAGACAAACGATGTTTTTTATTTTTGCTACAAAGTTGAATTGTAAGAATTTGTGCTGCATAAAAGGTCAAACATAACGGTTTTGAATATGAATGAAAAGACCACTCAAGCAGCATGATTGCGATCTAGTAATCCAGTGGCTTTCGAGGGATTGTCTTCTTAAACCTTGCTGGGTTGAATTAAGAGACACATGAAAGAAGCATGCCTCCCACACTTTCAGCAGATCGCATGAATCCCTTTTAAGCCCAAATACATGGATACATTGCAATCAATACAGTGCGTTGTAAAGGATTGCTGGCTAGCATTTCCGTATATGTAATATGAGTCCAAAACTTTCATCTGTAAAAAAAACGCGTGCTGATATATATAAATTTGATATTTGGGACATGATATATAGGAATAAGGTCAGAGTATCAAAATCTGTATCGTATGGCTATGACTAAGGGCAAACATTGGTTATCTTAGTTCCATAATTAAATATGCAGCAAAAACTTTGTTATTCCCCGTCTTAAAAATAACTCCAAATCGACTCGGTAAGTGAAAAGCAATAATTATAAACAGTTTAGTTTCCCACGGTTGTCCGCGGCAACTTACCAAATCTTGGCAATCTCAATTCCTTCTGGGAAAAGACCACCACTGCACCAAAATTAAGCGAATATTAAGCTTTCAGAAAGCCTTCCAAAAGGGCAAAATTTACATGAGCCTGGTTGAAGGCTAATGATAACCTAGACCCACGTTGAGATATAATGATTACCTATTGTCTCGAAGATCCAATACAAAGGCATTAACATTATTACTCCTTAAGGTATTAATTGCTTCCTTGACAGCACCTACATGGGATGCAAAGTTCTTAGACCAAATTGCGGAAATTGACAGTCAAAATATGAGCTCTCTCTCTCTCTCTCTCTCTCTCTCTCTCTCTCTCTCTCTCTCTCTCTCTCTCTCTCTCTATATATATATATATATATATATATATATACACACACACACACACACTATGTACATATCCAAACAAGTTCAAACGAATGAAGTACTTAACTAGATTATGAAGCATTGAGTAAATGAAGTTTTAAACAAAATGAGCAATGTTTTCTTCAAAATGAAGCACAAGAGAACTGAATTCATTTCTCAGTGAGAGTGGGCTTGAGAAGATCAAAACACCATACCATCATACATAAAACTTATATCAGTTCTGCAACTACTAGTTTTTCTTACCAGATGCATTTTGATTGAACGTTGGTAATTTGATATATCCAATCCTAGGGGAATCCTTTCCCGAAGCAGGCACCGCACATAGTCTGGACTTCACAGGATTCAGTGAAACTTTCTCCCGCCTAGAATACACCAAGAAGACATTTAAATAATTTTAAAATGGAAAAAGGACTCTGAATTGAGTAAAAGTAAAATCACCATTAACCCCAGTCCTAAGTGCTATCCCCCACTTAACGGTAGCTCAATGTCTTAGCAAATGGGATGACTGTGGTTAAACACGGAGCTCAATTGCAAGCCACCAAATAAAATGAGAACTTAGACCAAAAGCTTTCTTAAAATGACATGATAAAATTAATTCCAACTAATTATCAAATGCATGCCATGACAAAGTTAAAACCAACATATTATCAAATCAATAATCTTCAAACACTTTTGGGAATAGAATGAATAATTCCTTAGACTGATATTACAGTATTTCTGCAGGAATGAATGAAGAACTGAACCTACATTAGATCCAGGTGCTTTATTTCAGGTCCACTCCGAATGGTTAGTTTCACTGAACTTCGTTCAGATCCCCTGTAACAATTAGGAAAAACGGTATAAATGAAAATAAATAAAATTTTACTGGGAAAAAACGAATCATGATTCTGAAACACCTGTTACAATTCAACAGCCCACTCACAAATTCAAAGGGCCCAAGATAGAGAGCTACTCCAGGCTTTTAAATGATATGGCTTCCAACTAGAAATTTTGTGAACAATCCCTAGAATATCCTAGCACTAATGGATAGTTACTACTATAGTCATTTAGATATCAGAAAGGACTCGACTAGAAAACTGCAATTTGTCTATGTGTATGTCAATATTAGATTAATCTTAAGAACAGAATTTCAATGAAAATTCCAGCTAAGAAATACATAATATTGTAAGTTATATTATTATTGCATTTCCTCATTACAGTATTAGAGCATAAACATTTAGATGAAAAAACAATGACAAGTTACATGGGAGTAAGTGTATGAAACTCACTGTAGCCGCTCTGCTGCATCATATATGCCCATTGTTTCTGTACTTGTATCATCAATCGCCAGAATAACATCCCCAGACAAGATGCCAGCCCTGTTTGCCGGACCTCCTGTGGAAGCTGAAATAACAACAAGACCAGCAGCTGATCCATCAAGTTGTGTAGGGTAGCCAATTGACAGCCCTATGCCTGTAAGAGCACCTCGAGTTCCAGACTGCCTTTGAAGAAGATATGAACAGATTTCAGGAACAATAACTATATTCAAATTCAACTGAAGAAATAAACAGCTAAAATGAACTACACTAACAGTATAAGAAGAAAAATCATTGTACCCGTAGACTCTTTAACCTTTCAGGCTCCAGAAACCGAGTGAAAGGATCCTCCAATGTGGCAAGCATCTTCCTAATTGCCATATCTAAATGAACATACAACACTAGGATTTAGAAAGGCAGGAACTGGAAACTGGAAAGATATGTATAGTATTAAATGAAGAGATCCAGCTGGCATGAAGCTCTTGCTCAATTTTATACAAAACCAAAATAGCTGAGTAAAATAATGGTTTATCAAGTGAAGGGAGACTTTGGCATGCTAGGATCAGTAAATCTTGAAAACTTTCAAGCAGGAAAAAGAAATTATAAGTAGTAAACTAAGGTGACTGTGGACTTTAGATATCTCAAAGTCTCAAACAGTTTCTGCAATTAAGGCTGAAGAACCAACTATCGAGTTAAATAGGGTATCATATACAAAAGTTTATAGTACAAAAATATTTCTAAGTCCAGCGAACCATTGTAGAGGTGTACTTTCAAAAGGCCAGCCTTGGAATATTTCAAGCTACTTTTAGTATGGTAATTTTCACACAATACAATATCACCGACTGCAGGAAGGAATTCATACATGTCTCTTCTCGCGCATTCATTGGTTCATTGCGCAGTGCATTTTCTCTGTACCGAAACCAACTTTGTCCATTGAAACTTTTGTCAACATATGCACGGTCAATCATCTTCCATGCCTCTAAGAAGAGAAGATTCTCTTCTGTGAGAGCCCCTGGGAAAGTTAATAAAGGACAACAAATTAGAGTAAATTCTCTTACCACTGCACGATTTTGGGTTGTCATTACTATATTACCGTATAAAGTAAACTTACAGGATGGAGTACCGCTAACAGAAAGGGAAGCTGACATGACAACCATCAGCCCAGCAACAAAAACAAAAATATGTCGTCTGATTTTTTCTGAACATTTTATCACTTCATGGAGACTGCCAGCATATTTCTTCAATCGAAGTTTTTTCTTGATCTTACAATAATTTGCTGAAAACAAACCACACTGACAAATAAAAATCTGGTTGAACTCAACACTGATGGATTCAAGAAACTGTTAAAAGTACCCATTGCTGTTACCATAATTTATTGATCTCTTAAGCGACATAGTCATTATACACATTAAGGGAGACTTTGCTCGAGCTTCTACGATCCTTACTGGCAGATACTTCCACTGCAGCAACTGCAAGGATTCCAATTGAAAACAATAACTTTGGGAGTTCCCATTACAACTACATAACGCCCGGCATACATTATAGAGCAGTATCTTTCAGGAGCCAGAAGGCCTTTTTAGGATCAAATTCCGACATTAAGACTCTGAGAAAGTTACAAGATATTACTAAACCACCGGAATGGATATAATAACAACCATAATGTCGTAAAAATAATTATAGAAACGATCAGAGAATCAGACATCTTTCTTGGTAAAATGAGTTAGAGTATGCAAACAAAAATCAGTAGCTTACACATAAAAAGTTGTAATGGCAATTTAAATTCATCCAACGGCAATCAATGTGATGGTTGATGGCAAGCGAAAATGGTTCCTTATCAAAAGTAAAATAAGATACAGTTCTTTATGGTGTCGACACGTGTCCTCCAGTTATCTTTTTTATATATTTCCTTCTACAAATAAAGAATTACAACTCTTTTTTTGTGTTACACAAATAATAATAATTGAAACAAAGCGCAATCTTTGAGTACAAAGTTTTCAGCATTCACCACAATTTGATTGACCCAACAGAGGAAAAGCGAAAAGCTTTAGAATTTTATGATTAGAACGTAATTTGGCAACTATGTTGTTCTCTAAATTCGTAATTGTGGGTTATGCCCGGTGAAAGAAAGCTAAAATGAGGCATGAATTAGATAGGAATCAATGAGGAGTACCTGAGGTGGACGAGCGGCGGCCATGGAGGCGGAGCTACAGTGGTTCTTGTAGAAGTTTGAAATTAGTAAATGAGGGCATGAAGAAGAAGCAGTTGCAGAGCTAGCGAGGACATCCATGAATGGAGAGTCTGGACCCGATTTACAACTTTATCTGATTCTAATTCTCTTCAGACCATGATAAATAAAATAAACTGTTTGGATTATGAAGATAAAGATTCGTTAATTATAAGTGAGCGACAAATAAATCTCGGGGCACAAGCCTTATCCTTTCGCGAAACTCATATTCCAAACAAGGAACCAAAGGAAAATAATTTCAAAAAGTAAATGTGGAACAAAATATGGCGCCCTGACAATTCACTCAGTACCAAACCCTCTATTTTAAGCCGTGCATTTGCATAAATTCCACTGTTCTAAAAATCTCCGTCTAGGGCTGCCTAGGCACGGCCCTAGACGGTTGGTCATCGTCCCAATTAATGCTTAGGCGTTTGAAAATTAAGAAATGACGCCTAGACGTATTAAGGCACCCGCCTATCCTGCCCAGACCCGCCTAGACTCTTGCCTAGGTTGTAACTCACTTAGATAGAAATTAAATAACTTTCATTTTGCATTTTATTTTTTCAATAAATTGTAAGATACTTGTTGAATACTTAAAAGAACACATATTATATACTTGTTCCCCATGTTTTCATTATGTTCCAATAGTTCATAATATATATGTCATTCCATTTTGTAGTTTATGATGAAATCATATATATTTTAAGTATAAACAAACACTTATTTACACGAAATATAATAGATTTAATTAAGTCCGCCTAGGCGCCCGCATAGACCCCGCCTAGCCGCCTAGGCGCTAGGCCCCAGCCCGCCGCCCGACTAGCGCCTAGCGTCTTTTAGAACCTTGATAAATTACCCCACGCTCATGCGACCCATGCATATTCGTTACACCTAGTTTTGTCATGCTAATCATTATGTTTGGAGCTTGTCAAGTGAATTGTAGTGTGATGGTTATGGAAGTTTATCAGACCTACACAGAGTCAATATTATGGAAGACTTTGGACTGCTTGCAGGCTGAAAGATTCAAGCCCATAAGCTTTGAAGTCCACGTGGGTAGGTTTGAGAGTGTGCAAACCTAGTTTCCTTCTTTCCCTAGCAAACCAACCAATCTAGTTAGGAAGGCACCAAACCCTAAGTAAGTCACATGAAAGCCCAACAAAGCATGCATTTAATGAAGAGAGGTTGATTTTTCCTTCCTAACTCACACAAAAGAATGGCGAAAGAAAGCCAAGAGATGAGTTACCATAAGTAACGTATGTGGAAGTTGAACCGGGAAGTAATGCCTTGAGAAGAAGGTGTAGCACAGACATCACGAGGCTGGCAACACTCATCTATTTTACACTAAAAGCGAAGGTTGTAGCTGCACTAGAAGAAAGAAGGGGGAGGACTTAGCCACAACTAGAGATTCCTTAGGAAGCCTAGAAAAGAATCATTCACCTACAAAAGGGAGGTTAGGGACCTTCGATAAGGAGGCCAGAGAGAGATAAAACATTTCACAAAATTAAGGATTGTACTGCACCAAGCTAGGGAAGTCTCTCCCTAAGTGTAAGCAGCCTCAAAACTCAGGAAGCATCACCTCTGCAACCTTAGTGTTTTCCATAACCTCCCTCTTAGCATCCCAACCATTAGAAGCATTGTTATTACCCTAGGAAGTCCATATTACCCAACTAAGAACATCATGTATCCATGCAAACTCTCTCTCTCTCTCTCTCTCTCTCTCATGCTAAACTAATAAACTTCTAGCTTTCACACCATGCCTCACTTGAGCAAGCAATTATTTGTTTAATCATGCCATCTTTGAGTCATTGATCCAACTGGGTTAGTTTATTTTGTGTGCCTCGTCATTAGTTAATTTTGTGTGTCTCTCCATTAGTTTAGGATTTGGAGTCATGAGTATGGCAAATTCATGGCTCATTCGTTTGACAATTTGTGAGTTCGAGAGTTAGAGATCAATTTGGGAGATAATACTCTGTTTGTTTGGATTCTCTACTTGTTTGGTTTAGGGTTGTAATTTGTGACATTTGGGTGATGAGAGTTAAGACACTCATTTTTCATCTCCGTTTGTTCAGTGAGAGTCAATAAATGATTAGGAACGTTTAAGATATGTGTATGAATGAGAAATGCCTCATGAATTTAACTTTTTTAGATTATATTCTCTTAGTTAAATATTCATTTGACTTATTGTTTAAGTGTACAACATTTAATGAGACGGCTTTAGCATATAAGATTTAATGAGATGATTTTAAATAATATTTTTATCCTTAGATTAAACTAGATTAGTTAATATATGAAATGTCCGTAACGTATCATTTCATGATTAATTTAAGTTCAGAATGATGATACATATTCACATGTTATCAATATAAGCAACTTGAGATTATTGACCTCATCATTATACATGCTTTTACGCTGAACCACGTTAATCTGTTGTGTTTTTATTTTAAAATTGTTTGTTTCTTCGCTTTCACTTATAACGCTGATATCTCTGAATGTATCGCACTTCATTTTTCATCTTGTCTAGTCACTTAAACCAACCCATAAGTAATTCCGTTGCATATTTCGTCCTACTCCCAAATAATTAATCATGTTGATCAAGCTTATATGCTTTTTATTTTCTATTGATAAAATACGATTAGCATGTGGAAAACCGATAGAACCAAAACACGGGTCTCAATTAACTTCGTATGCTTTACATTTTTTAAACAATAATGTTATTCTTACCATAACTTTATACCACATTTCTTTACCATTTTAGATGGCAAATGAGTTGGATAACCACATCATCTAAATTAATTAGCATTTAATCAATAATTATTAAAAATATTGTTAATTAAATGATGATTGTGGTATACGAGGAGTCTTATTCTTCCACCTAAGATTATTTAAGTATTTTAATTAACAAAAAGATTGAAATTAAATAATATAACTTGTCTAACTCATCTACCACTTACTATGGTAAAAAAATATGATATAAAATAACATTGCTCTTTTCTAAATTAACAACAAAAAGTTAACCGTCATGAAGTAATTATTACCTCCAAAAAAAAAAAACATAAATAAATAAATTAAGCTCAGCTACTAATTAATTTCAGTAAAACCCAGAAGAGAGATTCATTAATCAGCTGCGGCGGATCAGAGTCCAAAAAGTCATCAAATCATGTAGGACCACCGCACGAGTTAGAGTCTTAGACGTCACCCCACACTGCTCCAAGAAAAGTGAAACCTCCAAGTCGAAACACACTCTCTCTCCTCCCCCTTCCCCACCACACCCCCCCCCCCCCCCCCCCAAAAAAACCCCCAATATTTATACCGTACCACAAATATCCGACGCCAACTACACTTCTACAGGGAGCAGACTACTCCAACTTCACCTCTCTCTCCCTTCCTTCTCTCGCTTACTGCTCCAATGGCGACGTGGGCAACACTAGACTGCTCGGCCACCCAGCTGGCCGACCTCCTGGGGCCCAACTCCACCGGCGCAGCTCACTTCATCTGCGACCAAATCGCCGGCGTCTCCACCAAGCTCTCCGACACCGCCTACGCCGTCGACACCACCTACCTCCTCTTCTCCGCTTACCTTGTCTTCTCAATGCAGCTCGGGTTCGCCATGCTCTGCGCTGGCTCCGTCCGCGCAAAGAACACCATGAACATCATGCTCACCAACGTCCTCGACGCTGCCGCCGGCGGCCTCTTCTACTACCTCTTCGGCTTCGCGTTCGCCTTCGGTGGCCCCTCCAACGGCTTCATCGGCCACCACTTCTTCGGCCTCAGCAAAGTCCCCTCCGCCACCGGTTTCGACTACAGCCACTTCCTCTACCAGTGGGCCTTTGCCATCGCCGCCGCCGGAATCACCAGCGGATCCATTGCCGAGAGGACTCAGTTCGTCGCCTACCTTATCTACTCATCCTTCCTCACCGGCTTCGTCTACCCGGTCGTCTCGCACTGGTTCTGGTCAGTCGACGGCTGGGCTAGCGCCGGAAATACCGAAAACCTCTTATTCGGAACCGGAGTCATCGATTTTGCTGGGTCGGGTGTGGTCCATATGGTCGGAGGCATCGCCGGTCTCTGGGGAGCTTTCATCGAAGGCCCCCGAATGGGTCGGTTCGACCACTCCGGCCGTGCCGTCGCTCTTCGCGGACATAGCGCTTCTCTCGTTGTTCTCGGCACGTTTTTACTCTGGTTCGGATGGTACGGGTTCAACCCGGGTTCGTTTACCAAGATCCTGAGTCCCTACGGGTCATCCGGATCCTATTACGGGATGTGGTCAGCCGTGGGTCGGACCGCCGTCACCACAACTCTCGCCGGATGCACCGCCGCTCTCACCACTCTCTTCGGAAAAAGAATCCTATCCGGTCACTGGAACGTAACGGACGTTTGTAACGGTCTTCTGGGCGGATTCGCGGCGATAACGGCGGGATGCTCTGTTGTCGAACCGTGGGCGGCGATAGTATGCGGATTCGTCGCCGCTATCGTTTTGATCTCGTGCAACAAATTGGCGGAGAAGTTGAAATACGACGACCCGCTGGAGGCGGCGCAGCTTCACGGTGGGTGCGGCGCGTGGGGGATTATTTTTACGGCGCTGTTTGCGACGGAGAAGTACGTGAACGAGGTGTATCCGGGAAAAGAGGGGCGGCCTTACGGGTTGTTTATGGGGGGCGGAGGGAAGCTGCTGGGGGCCCACTTGATCCAGATAGTGGTGATTATTGGGTGGGTGAGCGCTACGATGGGGCCCTTGTTCTTTGTGCTGCACAAGCTGAAGCTGTTGAGGATCTCGGCGGAGGACGAAATGGCGGGTATGGATCTGACCCGGCACGGCGGGTTTGCTTACGTGTACCACGACGATGAGGACTCGGAGAAGCCTAACGTGATTCAGCTTAGAAAAGTAGTCGAACCGAATGCTTCGTCCACGCCCCCGTCCGTTTAGATAGAATCTAATTTCCGTATTAAATTTTCTTTTTTTCAAAATGTTATTATTATTATCGGTAAGATTTTGTATTCCCAAAAGATGTGATTCTAATCCCCGTAACAATAGATCGAATTCTCCATGGTATTTTGACTCTCCCTTCAATCACACTTCAATTGCCAGTTTAAAACCTCCCTCCACAGACATATCTTAGTGATTTCATATTAAAATTTCAAGAATCTGAATCACTTGATCCGATGATCTTGGTGGAAGAGATCACTTAATCCGGTGACCTTAGTGATTTCATATTATCGTGGTGGTTGTGCTGATTTTGTTATTTGTATGCTTCCATCCGCAGAAAAGTACGAGCGCTTTGTCGTAGTTAGAATTGGCT